AACTGGCTGAAGTAAGTGATAGGCCTATGATTCTACATGAGCACTACCCCTAAGCCATACCTCGATGCATCTATCTCTACCAAAAAAACCTAACTGAAATACGGTAGGGCTAATACAGGTATTTGGTCATGGCCTTCTTCAATCCCTCAAAGGCTTGAGTAGTTGATCTCTACAAAAAAAGCTACTCTTCTTTGACTGCTCTATAAATGGTCAGGCTATGATGTTATATCCCCTCACGAATCTTCTTTAATACCCCATCAACCCTAGGAAGCCCCTCAACTCTCTCAGATTCCTAGGTAGAGGTCATTTCTATATGGCCTCAATCTTGATTTTATCAATAACCACTCCCTCCTGGGATACTAGGTTCCCCAAGTACTCCAACATCGCTTATATGAAGAACCACTTCTTTAGATTGGCTCGCAGCTGCTTCTCCTGTAAAACTCCCAAGACCACCCTAAAATGCTCCTCCTCGGATCTGTTGTACACTAGGATGTCGTCAAAGAAAGCCAATACAAACTTTCCAGAGATATGGTCAGATCACACTCGGTCTGGTGATCCCCGCCTCCAATATCTCTTGGATCATATTCTCAATATCGTCCTTCTAAATTTGAGGGTAGCTGTACGGTCGGACACAGATGGAGGAAACCCCCTCCATTAGGGTGATGGCATGCTCCTGCTCTCATGGTGGTGGTATGCCTTGAAGTGGTTGAAAGACCTCAGTGAACTGCTGTATGAGTGGTTGCACCAAAACAAAAATGTCCCATACTTCTATTTTGATCCCTTCTAAACTCTGCAGTTCCACTAGAAATCATCCTCCCACCTCTTGTATGATTTTTACCATAGTTTTGAGAGACACCATAGTTTTGGACAACCCTGCATCTCCCCTAATCATCACCATTCTTCCCTCCACCACCAGCTCCATTGTTAGTGCTCTCGAATTGACCTTAGTATCTCCCAAGGTCTGTAGCCACTTCATCCCCAAGATAACATCGGTACTCCCCAACTCCAGTGAAAGAAAATCTTCTATCACCCCCTGTATCGACAGCACAACTCCCCTACACACTCCCTCTCCCCCCCCATCTCCACTTTGCTAGTGCTCATCTTCACCCCATAACTCTCGGTGTCACCTAATTGGTCAACGACTTGATTAGAGATAAAATTTTAGGTCTCCCCAATGTCGATCAGCACCACCACCTCTCTGTCAGTTATTTTGCCTTTTACTTTCATGGTGTAATTCGGAGTGAATTCCACCATTGAGTTTAAGGAAACTTCAACCATGTTCAGATGCAACTATTCCTCCTCTTCCATCACTACCCCCACTCTCACCTCCCTCCTCAGCTTCCTCGTCATCACAGATGGTGAGAACTTGAAGAGTTTAGTCCTTACACCAGTGCCCTATTATTTACCTCTCATCACATCTGAAGCAAAATCCCTTCACCTGCTTCTCCTTAAGCTCATTCTCAATGAGTTTCTTGAAATTTTCTCCAAATCCCCCTCCTATAGGCATCTCTGTTTGGGCCTATCAAAAGTTTCCCAATGCGAGTCCTTTAGGAGCTAGGAATGTTGTAGTCATCCTGTACAACCCTCCTGAATTATTGCCTTTGGCTACCCTCTCCAGGTGCTTATGGTCCTCTACTAATTGTGCTAGATCCATATCCTCTCTTAAGCCCTGAGACCTCATCACTTTAATCGCTGCACAGATCTCTGGTTTGAGTCCCTTCATAAAGTTTCCTCTAACTCCGTCTTTGAAAGACGGTCTAAACAACTAGTAAGGTACTCGAACCTCTTCTGATACTCTACCACTAAACCCTCTTGTGTCAGGGCACAAAATTGCTCGTATAAGTCTCCTCCCCTATATGTCAAAAGCGTTCCAACAAGCAATCCTTGAACTCCATCCAGCTCCATATGGGTCATCGCATGTCCCTCCACTGGTACCAAGCCAAAGCCTTCCCCTCCAAACATTGGTATGCTCCTGTCAACATCTCATCTTCCATCAACCAGTTGATGAAAAAATATCTCTCCACCTCGTAGATCCACTCATGTGCATCATCTCCCATAAAGATGCACTTTTCAACGTCCTCACTCTCGGATTGCCTCTATTTTCCCTGAATCCTCCATAGCCTCCCATTCCACAAAGGGGAGGTTCTCCGTGGGTGTCTCGATCTTCCCTTCTGTGCTCAAACCCAAATCCTTCTTTAAAATCCCCCTCCTTTCAAAATCAGTACCCCGACGTTCATAATCCACCCCTCTTCTCATAAAATCAGCATCCTTTTGCTCGTTCCCGATACTCCTCCCTAGAAATATGCTCTAGCTGAGGCATCCTGTCTTTTCCATCCATAATCTCTACCTTTTGATTCTCCCCTCCCCTAAACAGAATGGGGTTTCCTCCTCTTGCTTAGCCGCTGGTGACTTCCTTTGTTCAGATGTCATTGTATTGGGTCTAGCTTCAAGCAACTTCTTCAACATGTCTTCCACAATGGCAAACTTTCCATCCATTTTTTTAATGGACGAATGCAAATTGGATTTGAAAATGTGAATTTTTTTCCTCAAAATTTGATTTTAGTTGGCCAAATTCTCCCTCCAACGCTTCTACTTTCCTTCCAGTCATTGGCACCCTAGATCGAATAGCTTTGATACCAATTTTATAGGTAATAATAAAAAAAAATAGAGAAAACTATGTTGATCTTAGAAATTCAGCAATAGTCCGAGCAGGTTATGAGAAATATGTAAAGAAATAACAATGAAAAACACTCGTGGTTGAATAGTGGATGAAAGAAACAGCACAATACAATGGAACTTCGATTCAAGAGGAAGATCCGGCTCTCCCAATCCCTAGCCGATGATTATAGCCCAAACAAACTCCAAGCAATCTTATATGTCAAACCAAATTCAAGATAAAAACCTAACCCTAGGCAGAAAAAACTACTTGAAGCAAAATACAATTAAGTAATTCCTAAACAGCCCTTAACTGTGAACTTTCCCTCGCAAAACCAGTGCTTAATTTATGCATGGACGCCATCCAGCTGTCTGCCCCCTTGCTTGGTAGAATTTTTGTCCGCCTACTGTAAACGTGAACTGGTCTATGATTGACCGGTTTAGCCGGTCCCTGGACTGATATAATAATTAGTCATGATAAATTGGGCATGCCATGGCTAAAGGAAACAAGGGGATTAAGGAGAGCCTTTAAGACATTGATACATCATGTTATATAAGGATCCAGAATGTGGTACTCAAGCCTAGAACCCCATAGTAGGCACTAGAAGCCTCTAGAAGACTACGAATGTCTAAGGGATTATGCATGTCTTTGGAATAATCTACATGGTTCTAAGATAATGGAGAGTATTTTGGGAAAGTCTAAAACTCTCAAGAATATTGTAATGTAAGTGTAATATAATAAGGAATAGTGCAGAATCTTCTAGATAACTTTATACAAATGTGTTGTGTAGTATACTCAAGAATATTCTTAGGAATGGGTGGAGGACCATAAATAAGAACCCCCCTTGTCGGGGCGGAATTTTTTTCTGTTTTTTGTAAATGTGAACCGGTCTGAACCAGTTCAGCCGATCCCTGGATTGGTCTAGTAGTTAACCATGATAAACTAGGCATGACTTGGATAAAGGAAACAAGGAGATTAATCAGAGTCCTTAAGACATGGACACATCATGTTATAGTAAGGCTTTGGAATGTGCAACTCAAGCCTAGAACCCTACAATAGGCACTATAAGGGATTCTACATGTCTCTAGAATAATTTACATAGTTCTAGGATCATTGAGAGTATTTTGGGAAAATCTAAAACTCTCAAGAATATTATAATGTAAGTGTAACATAAGAAGGAATAGTGTGAAATCTTATAAATAACTCTATACAAATGTGTTGTGTAATATACTCTAGAGTATTCTTAGGAATGGATGGACTATAAATAAGACCCCCTTATTGGGTTGAATCTTTGTCCGTTTGTTATAAACGTGAGCTGGTCTGGACCGGTTAAGCCGGTCCCTGGACTGGTTTAACATTTAACTATGATAAACTGGGCATGATATGGATAAAGAAAACAAGTAGATTAACCAGAGCCTTTATGATATGAATACGTCATGTTATAGCTAGAAGGCTCTAGAATGTGCAACTCAAGCCTAGAACCCTACAGTAGGAACTATATGGGATTCTACATATCTCTGGAATAATTTACATAGTTCTAGGATCATGCAGACTATTCAGGGAAAGTTTAAAACTCTCAAGAATATTGTAATGTAAGTGTAATATAAGAAGGAATAGTGTGAAATCTTATAAATAACTCTATACAAATGTGTTGTGTAATATATTATAGAATATTCTTATGAATGTATTGAGGGCTATAAATAACAACCCCCTTGGCAGACTTTCATTTGTATCCATCCACAGATTTTCAAACTCTCTACTAAAGTAAAGTTTCCTTTCTGAATAAAAAATTTACTTTCCTTTCAACCTTCCTCCAAGAGTCTAAGCATTCTTACCCCACGTTGTTGAAAGTTAGACTTAGCATTAATTTTTGTGTGCTAAAGCTGCACTGATGACTTATATAAAGTCAATCAATTGTAGTAATTCCATTGTTGGGAATATTCTCCATGACCCTAGAACAATGTAGATTATTCCAGAGACATGTATATACATGCAGAACCCCTTAAACTTTCATAGTCTTCTAAGGGCTTCAAGTGCCTGGAGGGTTTCGGGCTTGAGTAGCACATTTCAAAGCATTCTATAACATGATGTGTCCATGTCTTGAGAGCTCTGGTTAATCTTCTTTCTTCCTTTAGCCATATCGTGCCCAGTTTATCATGACTAACCTCATGAAGTTTTAGCAAAGCAAGACATTCAGCTATCAATGAAGAGATCTTGAATTCGAAGTTTGCATTTATGATGTATTCGTGAGTTTGCCTTTAATTAACATAATAAAAAACTAGACAAAAAAAAAATTACCAGCACATTATTTTGATTCATGTCCACTCAACACAATATACAAAAATTGAAGTAAAAAAATATTTCACTCATTTTATTAATCAAACAGAGGGTGAAAAGTAATTTCAATCCAATATCCATTCATCAATTTCATTTCCTCTCTTTCAAGCCAAAACAAAGCCTAAGAGAATAAGCCCAAGTTCATATAAAATGTTCCCAAGAAATCGTTTTACTAGCATCTTACAGCAGCAATCAACTGAGCCATGCAAGTTGCGTACTGAACCGCAGTGTGATGAGAAGTATAGCGATCTTGAAGGCCATAATCAGCAAAGTTCGATTCAATGTGCATGAAATGGCCGGGCAAAGACTTTTTGGAAATGGTTTCCTGCCAAATGTCAAAGAATTCTTCGAGAACTTGCCTAGATTTGTCGATGGAGGAAAGAGGAATGTACTCTACCTGCAAAATAATATATCTGCATCAAGAATAAAGTATTATAATGAATAATTCATAATATTGCTTGAATCGTTTCAAATAAATCAAAATCTGTGAAACCTTCCTTGTCAGGGCATCCCAACTTATGGGGCTGTTTGGTTTATTTAAAAAGGAAATGCTGAGTAAAATTTAATATGAGATCTTACATAGCAATAAGACAAAAGCCTAGTACAAAGTCACAAATCAAAACATTACATCAAATTTTAAGCTTATCATCATACACAACTCTCCAAGCAAAGAGCAAGACCGGCCCCTCTTCCCTCCAAAATCTTTCAGGAATAAATAGAAAGTTTTGAATTAAGCCCATAATACCATGGCCAATAACACCAAGCAAGGCAAAAATATGAAAGATTGCAATCTCTCAAAATCAATCCATCTTCTAATTTTGGCTTTAATCGAATTTCCCTCTTTATGGAAGCTTGTAATTGTAATTTCGATCCTTAAAATACCCCATGCTTGTCTTCTCGAGATTCATTGATGAAATTATATTAGGCTTGCGTAAATCCATATGTAAAGACTTGATGGTTTCTTTGCTTAGTGGTTGATCCCCAAGAGCATTGGTGAGTCCTTCATACCACCTCCATTTCTTTCTCCTCTCGTCCAACACAACTCCCCTCTAATTTAACTGGGCTTAGCCAACTCCTGAAGCCTAGCCTACCAAATCTTCACAATAGATTTGAGCGTATCTTTTTGCTTTACTGAAGAAATATTCATAATTCACCATATGCAAGTCTATATCTCAACCGTAATAGGTTCATGTGATGTCTAAAATATTTAACATGGATAAATCTCAAACAATAACGAGAGTTCAGTTTGACAAACTAAAAATTGTGCAAATAAAGTGTTGAATGTGATTATTAATAAAGGTCAAAAATAAAATATAATCCAACTCATTGGTTGATGGTTTATCATATAAAATCAATTCAAATACATTAAAAACCGGACTTTTTTTTTTCTTTTTTTTTTTGTTGGGGGTTTTTTTAGTTTTTTTTTTTTTTGGGGGGGGGGGGGGGATTTCTAACTTAAAAATATTCATCCCAATTCGTTGTAATACTTTACATGGTCACATTTTTCTAGCAGTCAATTTCTCGATGATTTCTACAAGAAAACTTTCAAAACCTAAACAGACCATTGTATTAAAACTTCGACTGAATTTCAAATATCTCTTGTTCTTAGTTATAGACTTACCATTGTCATTGCTACCAATAAGTTTCCTACGAATATTTGCTCCCAAGTGAATACACTATAATAAATATCAAGGGAAGAAAATGATAATGAAAACTTAAAATTTATATTTATTAAATTCCATTAATTGTTTTTTTTTAAGGAATTGGCAACGCCATATATATCTTTATTTATTCAAATAAAATGCTTACATTCTGAATAAATAACTATTTAAAGAAAAATAATTTAATTAGTTTTTTGTGATGAATTATGTAATTTTAGATTCAACCAGATGAATTGAGTTTTTTAGATTTGGTTATAATGCATTCAAAGTCCCAGAGGTTTAAGACAAGCTTCATAATGATCCACATTTTTAAAAACCCTAAATTTGTCCCTAGTACTGCCTCGTATCTCACTTAGGTAATAATTCAGTTGTAGCTATTAGTCTTCAAAGTGGCCCCTACAACTTAACGTTCGTTTTAATCTAGCCATTTTTAAGTAGACTGACGAGATTGAGCATCAAAGCCCTACATGGGATCCTGGTTGGATATCCATGCTTTACTCGGACAAGCTTCGCCCACCCACACCCACCCATGGTGACTTTTGGGATGTTGTACCCACCTATACCCACCCACTTTCCATACTTATAGAATGCAGTCTGCCACGAACTGATAGCCTTGAGGCTTGTTGCCCTTTGCTCTGATTGCAAACTTTCATGCCGCATATCAGAATTTACGGTAGCGTGGTTAAGTGTTGCACACTACGTAGTAAGGATTGCAGTAATATAAGATATACAGTGATTAGCAATGCAAATTGATTTATCCCCCGATATTGAGTACCCAACCATATCCACCCACAAGCCAATGGGCATACCCATACCCACCCATACTCATTGGGTATGGGTGGGTACATGAGTAGGTGTGGGTATAGATACCCAATGTAGGGCTCAGTTGAGCATGTGAGCGTTTGTTCAAAATTGAATGTTTTAATTTACAAAAATGCCTTCATGTCCTACGAAAGTGTTGTTTTCCTACTTATTCACTTCAAAGTCATTAAGCATTGAATATTCCGCACAAGTTCCTAATTTTGCTCTCAATTTATTCCAACAACGAAGACCAAAACAACATGGGTAAGCTTCTCTCCACCTTCAACTTTGAGGTTTAGGAACAGGCTTTGCAAGCGCAACCAACGTTTGGTAGTCAAAAGATCAGATTCTACTAAAAATCATGACAAGCTTTATTTTAAATTCGCCTGATATCACTTTAAGAAATCAACCCAACTTCTGATGACTCCAACTACATTCAACTTGCAAAGAATACATAAAAGCGTAATCACATTTTGGAGAAATAAAGCTGAAGTAAATCACTTGAAGATGACACTAGCTAATATACAATCGGAATTGTATCTGCCACAAAGGAATGTATTTGTCATATAGATGAATTTATCTCATTAAAATTCTCTTTTTCTAAACTGTGTGCTTCATAGGAAGCTTCATTGTTATAACATGTTTTAAGACAATCATGAAATAATTAAAGTTTGAACTTATTTGTCATCCCGAAAATTTTACATTGAAACTACAACAAATACAAATTCCTTGAGAGTCAATTCATAATTGAAGAAAAGATTTACAAGACACTGACGCTCCAACTTGAAAACATCTAAACCGAAATAAACACTGCCACTCCACCTCAAACAGAAACAAACATATAATTCTCAGGTATATATCAACCCAGAAAACATTTGAAGTTTTCTCTACCACTGAGCTTTTTGCCAATTCACTGTCAATACTCATTGAGAACTAATCTAAAGTTGCGCATTATTTTGTCACACTATGAGAAGATTTCATTTAAGTTTCTAATCAATTCCATCTCAGGCTTGGTTTTGTGGTCGCAGTTCATTTCTAAGCCCTACTTCTGATACTTATACAGACATATTTTGAGTTATGCCTCTTACATCTGGAATTGCCTGCATAATTCCATCATATGCTTTCACATAAATTTCTATATTAAATTAGAAAAATATCGTTTTGGTTACAATGAACTCCACAAATATCCCAAATCCCCTTCTAACAAACTTGCATTTGCCCAGATAAATACACTTAAAAAACGTGTATGTTTAAGCTTCTTTATTTTGAAAGTTATTCTAACCTTAAAAATTGATGCACATATCTTCCAATTACATCCTTAAAAGTCGGCATTTTTGGTTGTACCTTTTGGTGTCATTTTTTAACTTCTTATTGAAATTACCCCATGCAAATAACATCTTCATAAAACCTCTTATATGGCACAGACTTACAAACAACCGGCCAACCTTCAATACAATATTTTCATCAATGTCTTGATACGGAATCTCATTCAAAGCTGTCTTCCGACTCTTCCCCTTCTTTGAAGCCCTCCACCGATAGCTCTATCATGAAGTATATGCTCCATATGTATGTATACATGTAATAAGTCATCATCCCAAAGCCTACCAAAGTCCTGGTTGATATGCTAATATGGGTAAGGAGTATTGTCATAACGATGTAACTCAAAATCATCTAAGCTGGCACTGACTGGCTCTTCATTAACTACATAATTAGCATCTTCATTGTCATTTCCTTCAACTTTAGCATATGATACACAGTCATAACCTCACCCTTAGATGAGCTACCTGAAATAGAGCCTCTTCTTATAAGCATGCAACAATGTCGTCCTAATCGGACTTGACAAACATTCAACAAGCATTTCATCGCATGCTTTTCCGCCCTCTTTTCGTCTGTGTTCATTGACATTATGCCCTTCAAGCTCTCCACGTTTATACACTTCATCACACTTGTAAAGACTGCTATCATTCCATCAAAACTTAATATGTAACATATTTAACACATCAATATCAGTGCAATTGCACTAGCCCATTGAAATATAAGCAATGTACAGAAAATATTGATACCAGGCTTCGCATTGTCATACAATTTCTTAGCCATTGATGAAATGATATCTTCAAACTCAAGTATAGAGTACCTATCAACATATATGTTCTTTACTATTTCTACAACTCCCTTGTTATGACAGTGAAAGGAATCATATTCAGTAGCCATAATTACAAACTTACAAGAAACCTCATACAACCATAATTAGAATGTAGTTTGTTCATTAAAATAGGAATTTCAAATGACGTTGGACCTTAAAAGCATTGTTGATCATGAAAAGCATATCAAAGAATTGGATTACAAAACTTCAACAATTTGTTAAACCCATACCAAGACCATGGATGTTCCTAAAAAAAAAAAACGGAAAACAACAACAACTACTTCATAAAAAATGATATATTCAAGGAAAAACACTAGATTCATCGCTAAAGAAGAAAATGGTAGATTTTTTAAGGAAAAAGTATATTTTTTAAGGATAAAATCTCTTTTATATATTTTATGGTGGGCACAAGGCTAATTATAAGATTTTAAAAAGATTGGTTGAAAGGGACAAATCCTTAATACAACAGCCAAATGGAAATTCGTGCATGCTATTTTTTCAAGAAATGACCAATAATATGAGTAGAGATCGAATCCATGACCTTATGGATGAGATCTAGCGTATGAACCACTATATCAAGTTCTGATTCATGAGTGTGCTGTTTCATATGCAAGCCCTTTGCTCCATAAAAAGATTTGAAAGAACAAAACTACTTGTGAAGACTCTTAAGATGTAGGCAAATTTATATTCCTTCACATATATTAAAGGATCAAATGCACGCTTATTCCAATATTCAAACCACCTTCATTTTTCCCCAGCAGAGCACTAAAAGTTCGGCATTCCCGCCGAAGATGATCAATTGCAAAGCGTAGCATGAAACTCCAACCATAGTCTTTGTTGCTTTCATCTAAGTTATTATATGTGAAGGATATTTTAGGGATCAAAAGAGCTTCTAATGATTCTTTCATACCGATTTGAAGCACAAAATCGACCTTAGGCACACAAATATATGGGGAAAAAATGTGAAGCAAACCCACAATTTTGGGGACCCGTGTTATACATCTTTAGATTTTCTTGAATAACTATATGGGTGTGTTGAAGCATTTTTTTCTTGATAAGCTTCATTTTATGAAGTCAAGGGAACAATAATAAAAAAAACAAATCAATGTCAATTTGTTTATTTGTTAAAGAGATAATATCAAAAAACAATGTTTTAGGATTTATATTATTAATTTACTTAAATAGATTTAATATCTTCAACTTGATCAATTGCAAAATCAAATTTATATTATTGCTCAATTATAAGTTCATGTTTATAAACATGCTTTGGTGCAATTCAAATTTAATAAATCCACATGTAGAGTTGTAGCATAATTAAATCATTCTTTGCATCTAATTATGATAAAATTAATATTCATGAACTATAGTTTCCTTGATAGGATCAACTTTGACCGTTCATGATTTTGGTGCTAATGTGTGTTTAATAGAATTTAAATGATGTAGAATATTTTTTCATAAATATTAATAAAAAGTACAATAATCTTAAAATGAGGATAATTGCTTAAATAAGATGAATGAAATAATTTAATTAACAAGAACATCTCTTGTATATTATTATAGGTGACTAGCTAAGGGAAGCGGCATTTAAAAATTAAATGATGAGCTAAAAGTTAAAGTGGGTGATTATATTTCTATTATATAATAGTTGCGGTTCTTTTTTATGATTTAATGCATTGACTGCTATAGCCCTTTTGATATGTACAATTGACAATGTTAATATTTCTAAAATTTCTTCCTTTTACTTGCATGATTACTATCATATTGTGATAAACATTAAATGTAAAAGCATCTAAGTAAAACTCAAGATGCATGAATATAAATATAAATATATAAGTCAAAATGAGTGAAAGCAACTGTAGGTGTATGTTGAAATGAAGGAGTTCACTTTATGGCACTGACTAGAGACGTAATATACTCACACACATAAAATAAAATATAAATGTTTGAAAAATGAAATGGAAATGGTTGTGCCTTACACGATACAAATTTTTAGTTGAAGCTACAATGACTGATGTTTTATAAAAAAAATATGCTATGATAAATTTCTTACAAAATATTCGCTTACTGTACTTGCAACTGATTGAAATTATACTTGTTTAAACTTCTTTTAATGAAATCTTAAATATTGCTTATATTGACCTACATGCATTTTTCTTTCTAGTTTTTAAAATTGCTATATTATTGAACTGTATTTAGACACTGAGTTGTTGTGTGACTCAACCAATTAGAAAATTTTCATGTTTTAGGAAAGGCTCATCTAAATTAACTTAAGTGGTAGAGGAGGATTTATATACAAGAGAGGAGGAGTGAGTGATAATTAATATTTAAAGTTTATATGTATTTGGTTTAGTTATTTTTTGAAATGTATGAAATAGAATTGAATAGTGTATGATTTGAATATGAACAAAACATTATTGTTTAGTAGCTTTTTATAATTTGGAAGATGTTTCTATTAGATTACATATAATATTAATTGAATTTAGCCAAACATCGAGGGAACAACAACCCTCGATGTTTTTCATTTAGCCTTGAAACCAACAATTACAGTTTTCCCAAAAATCCTTATTATTAATAATTCAAAAAGAATCTAGTCTAGAAACAAGTTGATATAAATGAATAACAAATTTACCATCAAAGTTTCAAACATCATACCTCCATCATGATTCCTCTTAACGCCTCTGATGCTGAAGGAACACATTTTCCTACTCTTAATTGGAAATCACCAAGTTTATATTGAAAACCCTGCATACAAAAAGGATAAATAGAGATAAATCTTGAAATATATACGTAGGTCATTTTATGGCATCTTGGTAAAAATTGTGGCATGATAGACATCACCGGTAAGAACAATCATGCGTTATACAATCGTTGATCTTAGTTTGAAAAAAAAAACAAAGAAACAAAGCTCCTCATTGAGGCGGGCTCGTTGGGAAGACATTAATATACAAAATTCACAATAAGTATGCCCTAAAAATAAGTTAATTTCGTATGATACCGCTAAAATATTTTTTTTTTTAATTTTGCCCAGTTTTTTTTAAGAGCTAGATAAACTGGTTTGTGAACATATGCGAAAGTATAATATAAAATTTGACACACAAAAAATGCATAACCCAATGTGAAAATTTAACTATTTCAAATTAAAGATTCAAGTGTCAGTATATCCTCCCGTACTCTTCGAAGGAAAAGCAAAAAAATGTATCTACACCTTCTATTGTTCGTAGAATATGAATGATGGTTATCTACTAGCATCACTAACTCTCTTGAAAGTGAAATGCGTGTATGTGCTACTACAAATGTAGACAAACAACATAGGGAGGGAGGAGGACTTGCAGAGAATAGCAGGAAGTTGAGGGAATATTTCCATATATGCATTCTGATAAGCATGGGGTAATGTTGATGGAAGGAAGATAGCCAATAAGTTTCATCATAAGGGGGCGGACAACTTCACAAAAAAGCTAATTTATCCGACACATACGTCCAATTTATTTTTAATCGGACACATTCCGCATGTCTGACACATGTCAGAAGTCGTGTAAAATACATGTCGGATACTACACGCCTCTTTAAAGAGAAGTGTCGGTGCATCATAGAAGGAAAGTTGACGAGAATCAATTATATCAGCCCACTATCATAGGTGGACTTTTAAAGAGACCATTCATGCTAACGATAAAGCTTACCTTGATACCTCAGTTCTACTGTTAATATATCATAGCACAAGGTGCAGCACCAAATTATGCCAGACATCTATGTTCTCAAGGTGTTGGAAGGTATCATAAAAATAATTAGTATAGCATAGAGTGGCGTCTTCCTCACCACTAATTTATAGACACAAGCAAATCAACAGATACTTTCTACTTAATCTTTTGCAGAAGAAACTGTGGGGATATCACTAATAAAAAAATATGCATAAGATGCAAAACCTTCTATAAATTTATGTAACCAGAATAAAGTTGAAATAGTTTGTAATAGAATATTTTAAACATTTTAAACAACATTAAGAATAATATCATGTTTCCATCACTGTGAATTCATGATCATCACGCGGATATATCGGAATCACAGCATTCAGACCAAAAATGTTTAAAAGCAGCAAGAACTGCAAATTTTCCAGATATCATGAAATGCACTCCCTCGTATGCATCATAAAAAACAAGGAAAACTCCTAAATTCCTATGAGAAGATAGTAAATCATCAGCATATAGACCAAAAAGCATAAGCATCATTTATATGGGATAGAATCAAGTTCTTGAATCAATTGATGTCACAACTTAACTCCAAATATAAAAAAGTGTGCAGCTAAATCCAGGTATAAATCCATTGAAATCTCTCTGCAATGAATCAAGCAGCAAAATCTTGGATATATTATACATAGTTGACGTTTGGATTTAAAGTTTAAAAAAGAAAAAAAAATTCAAAATAAGAAAATCTAGAACCATCATCAAGAACTTCATCCAAAAGAAGAAACAAAAAAGTTATCAACAAACTGATTTTCCAGTTACAATTTTTGCAAGAAAGAGAAACCATTAAAAATTTTCTAGTATAGCCACTAAGAAACAAAATAACAAACTCCCATCACATAAAAGGTAAGAGCCAATTTTTTTTTTAACATGCACTAATAAACCCAGTAGTTATGCTAAATAGAGATCCAATATGAAATACTAAAAATCTTACGAATGACTTAAATACATTGATGTAGAACGGGAGGAGGTGGGGGAGATAATTTCAAAATCTGAAATTAATTGCAGATTTTGGTGGGAGAGATTTAACAATTTTGAATTTCAAACAAGAAGAATAGAAGAGGGAAGAGGTAATTAATATTTCCTAATCTTAGGCCGTAAATTAGAGATTAAATAATTAGAGAAGGGGAGAGAATGTGGGCTGGCCAATGAAGGGAAGAGGGGAGCGGCCACATTCAACGTATGTGGATATTTGCAATGAATGTTGATTGATAACTTCAAATCTGAATTAATTCCATATTTGCATCAATTGAGGATGCTTCCTAAAATAGATGTACTAATTAGAAAAGCATTTGAAATTTGTGTATGGGATTAATTAATCAATCAATTTCATAATTGATTAATTAATTAAATATTTTTTTTTTGCAAAATTAATGTAATTAATGAGGATGGATTTGAAATTCAAATTAGATTAATTTGAATTTGAAATCTTTCCAAATTAATGACATCCTAAATAAGGAAAGAGGAGTTTTAGAGAGAAGTGATATGTGGCAAGGTGGTGGCCAGCGGGTGGGTGGAGCGTTGTTGGATTTCGGCCAAGGGGAGGCAGGAGGGAGGGAGGGGCTGGTGTAGGCCGATGGTGTGGAGGTGATGGGGTGAGAAAATCGGCGCCTTGGTGGAGGGCTTGATGAGGTGGCGGTTTAGGGAAATAAGGAAAAACAAAACAAAGAAAAAAAAAAGATAGAACCGCGTGCCTCTTGGACTCTTCCGAAGACTGACGGGTGATGCGTTGCCCTTCACCAAGGGACTTTAAGCCACGAACCCGGACCCATCCTGCGGCTGGTGGAAGCTACGATTCCCTCCATAGGGATTCACTATCGTCCTCTCAAAAGAACACAAGTGCAGAACACAAATTTTTATTATAATTCCATCATATCTTATACAAGAGAAGGGACCTCTATATATAGGCCTCAAAAGAAACTAAAAGATAAATTTGCCCCTTGGGCTTACATAAGACAATACTCTTAAATAAAAAGGGTAAAAAAGGAAAATTGCAAAATTAAATCAAAATACAATTAATAAACTAAAATAAAACGAAGTGATCTCGGTTGTCGATCTTTGACTCTTCCTTTGAATATCGTCCACTGTCGAATGTCCGCATCATACATATATCACTTATATATTTAAAATCTAAACTACACAATTTAAATAAAATAACATTTTGTCAACAGAATTAAGGAAACCATCGCCCACATCGATAGGAAGTCATGATGGATCTCAAGGGGCTTCAACCTTCATCCCCCTCCTTCCCTGCTGGGACAAAGGTTCCACCATTGCCCATGTCTCATCAATTTGCTTCTCCTTCTCCAAGTAGAGTAAGGAAGACGAAGATGAGTAAGTTGTGATGGAATCTCGTGACGGGATCTTGTTGCGGAAGAATCAACGACGTATGAAGGAGAATGAGGAGACTTATGGCCTGTGAAGGGTAACAAATCTCACTGGCAAAGAAAATGATGGCGTGTGAAAGATATTGCAGAGGGCCAATTTAAGGAAAAATCATTCTGTGCGGACAACGAACGCCGTCCGCAAACTAATCAGAATGCACCACGCACCATTTTACTGTACTGCGGCTCAGTACTACTCGGTACCGTGGCTTAGTACCGCTCGGTATTGCGACATCCAGATGTAGAGCTGCGTCCGGCATCCGCACGTAATAATTTCTCAAAAATGCTATTTTTATGTTTTTTTTTTATATTTGAGTGGTATGAAATTAAAAAAAAAAAAAGAAAGTTAAGTTTATGTATTAAATAGATAAAGGTTCGAGTTTTGAGTGCTATGCATGTAAATCTCCAAAATCTTAAATGGAAATTACTTCTCGTGCAAAGGGGTCATTGTAAGTACATGAAAGACAACTCACCTTGGTCTGTTGGTTTGGAACTTAGGCTATCAACTAAGAGGTATTGGGTTTGAGTCTTGTGTATGCAATGTATTTGTGAGTATGCCTTAATTGGCCTAAATGTCCCCAAAAAAAAGTACATGAAAGAGTTCTCGGATCTCGTGCATTTCACTTAGGAGTAAGCAAGAAGGATTAATGCCTAAAAAATATACACGAATTGACGAATAGAATAAGAAGGTTCGTAGATTGACCTCAAAGTTGAGAGTAACCCTGGCCTTGTAGGATTGCAGCTTCTCCATGATAACCTGGATGGAGGCGTCCGCCTCAAGAACAATGCGGTTTGGGCGAAGGATGAAGTAGTACTTGGCAGGCTGCTCTTGGAGAGCGAGCCCGAGGAAGTCGCGTGGGTGGTCAACCGGCACCAAGGCGTCCCGCTGCATCGGCTTGTAGAATGTAAGCACCGAACGCCATCGCCCGTCCTTCTGACCCCCAATGCTCTCGACACACTGGCAAGCTTCCGTCAGAATCTGCGTGCTCAGCGTGGTTCCTGGCTTCGGCTGCCAGTGCATCAACCTGCCAGTCCATAATCGAAAACCTAGACTTTAGAATCTTTGGGGAGTACGTGTGGAGGCAGAGAGAGAGAGAGAGAGAGAGAGAGAGAGAGAGAGAGAGTAAGGGCATTCTTTGCTTTACCATTTTACCGTCATCACGAATTTGATAGATGATGCAAAACCCTAGCCGTGGATCTTCGCCTGATAGAAAAGGCTTTGGGTTTCTGTCCGCCGTCCCGATCACTGCATTTTGTACCAATGCAGAACGAAAGAGACGAAATTTTGTTTCAGGGATGTGCAGAATTTATGTTAAATCTTATCAAATACCCAAAAAAAAATAAAAACGTCGGGCTGTTTGCCAACAGGATTTATGCAGGATTTGAGCAGGATTTATGCTAAATCCTGTCAAACGGAATAGATCCTCCGTTTCTCTCTTTTTGCCGTAAATCCTGGATTTACTAAATCCTGTAGTTCGGCGGATTTACATGATTTGACCGAGGAAGCGCGCGAAAGGGATAAAGATGGTTACCTTCGCAGCGAGCCAGCTCCCGTCGTGACGCCCGATCCGATGTCGTCGAAGGAGGCGAACTTTAGCGTCTCTTTCAATACACTACTTCCATATTTCACTTCAGGAGCAAGGCCACTTCACGAGCAAGGATAAGTAATTTAATAAATAATATTATAATTAGTAACTAAATTATTCAATAATTAAACTAATTTTAATTAAATTATTTATCATTATAGCTTGCTAAATATAATTAAATTTAAATTAATAAGTAATATTTACTTAACAAGCAATTAAATTCATAACGCATTAAATTTAATTTTCAGATGAACTAATAGCCCCTTCACGTCAAATTAAATCATCATTTTTCATTTTTTAAGTAAATCTCAATTTTAGTAAATCCTAGCGGGGTTACAAGATTTGGCCAAAGAAGCGTACCAGAGATGAGAAAGATGATTACCTTCGCATCAAACGAGCTCCCATCATTACTTTTGATCCAACAGGAAGAACGTTGTTGAACTATCGTGACTTCCAATCCGACAAGAAGGGAACATCGTCGAAGGAGGCAAATAAGCTTTTAATGACTCATTTAAAACTCTACCTCACGTGAATTAGGCGAAGTGGAACAACAACGAAAAAATGAAGGACAGGAAAAGCAAAACTCTAGACATGCCTTAGGCTATCATAAAAGAAGATAAATTATTTAAATAGCCTTAATGGCAGCTTGAGTTATATTAAGGCATTGGAGGGATAGTATAGGCCATGGAGATTTTTTTAAAAGCCCAGTCAAATTGTTAAGAATAATGATACATATCACATATAATGAGAGATATCACATTTTATCACTTTTAAGAGGGAGAAATATATCAAACTCCAAACCATTGACAATAGAAATAGATTAGAGGTCAATTACAATGATCATAACACTTTTCGTAACACAAGCGACAATTGAATAAGACCTGAAAGCCTTCTTGCTCTTCTCTCTCTCCTCTCCTCCTCTCTCCCTTCTCTTCTCCTCCTCCTTTCCTTACTTCTCCAACGAGGCAATGAAATGAGAGAAGAATAGCTTAATGTTAGGTGATAAAAACTCATTTTAGTGCCCAACGCCCCAACCCTCTTATATTGCATGTCAATCATAAAGTTACTGTAGAACATAGCCTTTAATGCTACGACAATAGTTCCTATCATTATTTCGCTTTTAGCATCGTTGCGCTCACAAGCATAACACCAGAGCACTACATTCAAAAAAAATTTTACTTTTTAATTAAAGATTATTTTTTAAAATTTAGGATTGTTCCATCAAATTAGGTAAAGTATGGCTAAGTAAACCAATTGGCCTGCCTAATGTTCAACTGAGGCTATTCATATATGGTTGACCTATTAACATATACTAAGGCTTTGAGATAAATCAAATTAATTAATCTGGTAGATTTGACTCTATATGGTCAAATAGATCACTTTGGGATAAATTAGGTTAGAATGTCTAATCAAACTCTATCAAAGGTTTATTAGATTAATTACAAATGATATATTAGGATTTCTTCAATTCAAATGTATGGATTCAATTCGTCTTATACAGTCCTGCTAGGGTTTAAAAGGATCTAGCCTATGGCTTAGTTATTTAAACTCTATGAAAAATATTTGGTGTCATAATTGAATCCAATAGGACACATAGATATATAAGTCATATCGTGTTGATTTGTGATAGACTAGCCTAAGATCTAAGTTTTGGGGGCTTTTTAGATCTTTATCTAATCATATCACATAACTTCTAATTAACCTCAATAAACAAAATAAAATTTAACTCATTTATAATTTTTCTTTCATGGAGAAAAAAGATTCATGTAGCAAACCCCACGTAGTGGGATAAAGGCTTGTTGTTGTTGTTGTTGTTGTTGTTGTTTGGGATAACTCCTGATGCTTAGCACATATTAAATATTCAAAAATACAGGCTCTAATGATTCCTTGAGCATTTAACATCACAATAAAACTTCTTTTGTCTTTAGCATAAGAATAAAACTTCCTATGCATAGCAGATCACCTTATAATCATATATTTCAAGCATTGGGATAACTCCTGATACTTAGCACATATTAAATATTCAAAAATACAGGCTCTAATGATTCCTTGAGCATTTAACATCACAATAAAACTTCTTTTGTCTTTAGCATAAGAATAAAACTTCCTCTACATAGCAGATCACCTTATAATCATATATTTCAAGCATAAAAGCATATATAGCATTACATTGCAATAAAGAAGTGTAATAAACCAAATTTGAAATTTTCCACAGAAGCTTTATCAGTAAGCAACATAATTACCAGCTGAATTTAATTGTTTTAGAATATCATTAAGTTACCAAAGATTGTTCAGAACATTATTTGGAATCCTTAATTGTACTACATTATTTTCCGGAATCAAAATTATTTTTTAGTTAAATAAAAAGGAGCGTTGTTTGAACTACCCAACAAAATTTGTTAGAAAAATACACAAATGTCCAAAATTATCATATCTACAACATATAAAAAGTTATACAATGAAAATTTGGTGGGTACAAAGTTATCCCAATTTTCTTTAATGAAATAATAAATTAAATTAAAAATATCTAATATTTTTAAAATTGAGATAAACATAATATAACCTATCTCAATAGCAAAAAAGATCGGAGTCACTCAAATCCTAGCTTTTTCTCACTATATTTCTCCCCTCTCTCTCTCTAGCCAGTTGTCCAAAGAAATTAAATCAGTTTTAAAGTAGTTAAATTGTAATTTATTAAAAAAATAAGCCCAACACCATGACGTCCAATCCCGCGCTATAGTGCCCCCCTTAAGAGCGCACTGCCCCAACATAGTCTCTAGTGTCGCAACACCCAAATTAATTTGGCCAAAATACAAAGATCTTATAGCATTAAGATCTCTGTGTTTAAGGTGAAATATATTTAAAGAGAGAGTATATATGATTTGAATTTAAATGATTAAATGATTCATCCAATGATCTTTTCTAAACTCCAATAGGGATCCCATAGTCATCCTATGGTTAAATCTCAATCAACTTAGGCCAGAGGTTGAGGTAGGATTTCTAGTTAGGCCATTTGAACCTAGATTAAACATATGGTAGGATATATTTGTTAAAACCTTAGGATTTCAAAGAAATCAATATAAATAGTTTAATATTGAATTCTCTCATTTACCCATCTATTTATGTTCAAAATATCTCAAATTACAAAGCTTGATTAGGCCCCTAACAATTAGGGTATGTGACATTATTCATTACCAAAATCCGTCTTTGTAAAATCCTATTATACTATGCAAAAAACTCATAAATAACTTTACGAAGACTTGTAAAGATTAGCAGAGGTCTACTACAATAAATTTTTCTGCTTCTCATGTCACTATATCTTTATGGAGCACGTGAAGGATTTCGTGGCTATCTATTAGCTTTTCAGAGGCCTATAGGGTTTGCAAAGACTCTTAAAGTCTATTTCATATTTTTATTTCTCATAAAATAGCTAAGGGTTAATTTTTGAAAACTAAGTTTACTCAATTAGTATGACCTTATGCAACATTTGAAATTTAATTTGTCTTTAAAAAAATGATTGCTTTACTTTATAGTGTGATACCTAATTTTATCTATGTAAGATAGTTTCTTCCTAATTTGCTTGATTTCCTTTTATACATTCCATATATACATTCATACACTTAATTGACATTATACATTTTTCTAGTCAAATAATTCCATCTTCATATGTTTAAGATGCGATGATTTAATTATTTTTTGCACAAACTCGATTGAAATAATCATTCCAAATTCCTTAGTGTATTTGTGATCTAAAAAATTAGAACTCTCGAGCTCATTATAGTATCTTGGTATAGTTCTACTTGGTAAAATTTTTATAATATTCTCTAAATATTTGTTTGCTTTGATTTTTTTAATACAAACAAAGTGCTTTAAAATAGATGTTAAAATATGTTTTTAATGATTTTAGTATTCAGATAAATATTCAAAAAAGATCAATAATAGTAGTACAATTCCTTTAAATTTTTATTAAAGCTAGCATATTTGGCCTAGGATATTCAAGATTTTTTCTAAACTAAACAATCTTCACCACTTCATCTATAATGTTGTACTCTATATATAACAATTTTTTTTCGAGTTTAATGAATATTATAGATATGAAAATAAGAGGCCATTTATTTAAGTAAAATTCATTAAAAATTTGATACATATAAGTGTAAGTGGATTTTTTAGGACTATATATCATGTCACTTTTATAAATTCTTTTCACCAAAGTGTTCTAGACATGATGTATTATTTTATAGTTATTTTTTAAATAATTTAGAGCTTTGGATTTAACGTTATAAAAGAATTTATATGAATTTTACATTAAAAACTAAAAAATTCATATAATTATACATAAGCCCTTAGCCTTATTTTATTGTAAATTATATCAAATCCTATTAAGTATTAACTTATCTCATTTTCCATGCATTTCTTTATTTTAAAAAAAAAAAGAGCTTAGAGAGAGAACGGGGGAGGAAATGTGAGAATTTAGAGAGAGATTCAATTTAGGACTTCGAGCCATATTCGTTTGTTCAGCCAACTGAAAAAATTGTTTAACTTGAGATAGACTATTTTTAACCTACATAAAATTTTAATAAATTTGTTTTTTTTTTATATGAAATTTGTTATATTTAAATTTGTTTGGAAGGATTGTAATCGGTGGGCGACGTAAGTCGGAAGGACCATAGTCGGCAGGCGACGAAGGTCGGAAGGACTGTAGTTGGTGGGCAACGTAAGTCAGAAGGACCGTAGTCGGCGGGTGACGGAGGTCAGAAGGACTTTAGTCGATTGGTGATGTAAGTTAGAAGGACTATAGTAGGTGGACGATGGAGGTCAGAAGGACTGTAGTCGGCGGATGATGTAAGTCAGAAGGATCGTAGTCGGTGGACGACAAAGGTCAGAAGAACTGTAGTTGGCAGGTGACGCAATTCTGAAGGACCGTAGTCAGTGGGCGACGGAGGTCAGAAGGATTGTAGTCAGCGGGCGACGTAAGTCAAAAAGATTGTAGAAGACGGGCGATGGAGGTCAGAATGACTGTTGTCTGATGACGAACGTCAGAAGGATGGCGTCAGGTAGGAATCATGTAATGGATAGAAATCCAGCATCATATAGATATCCGATAAAAATTCGACAATAGACAGAAGTCTGACGTCAGGTAGAAACTTAGCAACGAGCGGAGGTTCGGTGTCGGGTAGAAGTCCGATGTCAGTTGATGACCAATGAGAACTTTGGCGTTAGATGGATTCGGGCAGAACTCCGATGTCACTTGGAGTTCATGTGAAACTTAGGCGTCACTTTGGAAGTCGGGCGGAATTCCAGCGTCACTTGGAAAGTCGGGCGGAATTCCGACATTATTTGGAAGTCGGGCAAAATTTTGGCATCACTTGGGCAGAATTTCGACAACGGTGGTCGAGGAGGAGTTTCTTCCCTCATATCAGTCTTCTCTTTTCTTCTTGCTTGGCCCCCCTCTCAAAAGAAATGAGGAGTTTATTTATAGATTTTTGGAGTGGCATGACCCGTAAATAAGTGAGAGAGCATAGACAAATGTGGAGTGGTTTGGATGGATGACTGATATTGAATCCTTTGATTGTGGACCGTTTGTCAGAGATTTGAAGGTCTTAATAATATCAAAATTCGGCAATCGTGGGCTCGTTAATTTGTCTCATCGAGCCGCTCGATTTGACTATAAGCATGTCATATTTGGAAACTGTTTGGTAATCCAAATTATGGATTGAACCTTCCAAATGTGCTTCGGGTCTTCGATTTGGACTCATTTGGGCTCGGATTGAGTTGAATTTGGTGTCGTTGGGTTCTTATTTTCAAGACGTTCAGTTTGACTGTAAGTTATCTTAAATCGGAGTTCAGATGATCCCATATTTAATTTTTGAAGTTTCCAACTTGATTTTTGCCTCAAGATTCGTGTCCAATCAAGATAATTTTTTAATAACATATAAAGTATAATAATAAATTTGTAAATTTTATAAATTCTCATAATTGCTAATTATTATATATTGTTATGTAGTGATATACATTTCTTCTGTTCATTTAAATCCTAATTCATCTGTATTTAAGTATCATAAAATATTTGTGAAAGTAAATATTGTATGATTTATAGATTGTTGCGGATGATTATATATACATATTTATTGAGAGATTTAAGAGTCTAAATAAATGAATTATGCTATGAACAAGGAGATATATATAATGACCTAAATGATGTGTTGAATGAAAATACAAGTATAGGGTGGTATAAGGGTCTGTTATTATATATATGAAGTATTTGGGAGGTATAAGGGCCTGATAAAAAAAATAATGTGATGTATTTTAAAGTGATATTATATTTAAGTTATCTTTCACGTTATAAATGCATATAAAAGATAAACTATATATTATAAGCTATCACTATATTCAATATTACAATTGTGAGCATTATTGTATAAGGCTATAAGCTTCCAAAATTATAACATACTTTATTATTTCTAACATGGAGATAGAATAGCAAACTTATTTGCTTTTTTTTTTTTGTAAATTAAAAATTTTGGTAGGTTTCAAATATCTTATGATGCTCATTCCTATTTTATTTTGTATGTGTTAATTTTAAGATAGAGAAAGAGAAAGAAACAAATTGAGTAGAGATAGAGATGATATGTTTGTGTTTATAAGTACATCTTTTGTTAGCTCACATATATTTTTTGTAATTATTATAAAGATTTAATTATAATTAAATTATTTTTATAATAAGTAAACTTTTTTTATATATTATTGAAATATGATTAATTAAATAAAATATTAAAATAGTGTTGAAGCCAAAATACAACATAAAATTTTCTCGACTTATTCTGCCAAACGTCTAACCTCGTTTAAGATATAACATCATTTATAAAACTGCCCAACCAGACGCGTCCTGAGTTCCAAAGGAAGACCGCGGAAAACAAAAATAGAAACTTCTCCGGCGTCGATCATGGCGTCAGAGTTGCCGGCCTCCGACCGCACACATATATGCATAATTATTATATGTTTTCATGTAGTATTTCAGATTATGTGCATTTTGGGTGTTTTGACAAATTTCTAAATTTTGATAAAAATTTACTTGTAGTATCGAAATCATTATTATATTTAGTTGTGTTTTATGCTTCAATTATATTGAGTTGAGTATTGTTACATCCTGAAGTATTCGCGGCGATAGAGAAATATAATATTTAACGTCTTAACTTTGTATAAAAATCCGGCATGTAGTCAGATAAGAGAGATGGTGTAGCATTTATGAGACACCAAGATTTTTACGTGGAAAACCCTTGAAAATGGGGGAAAAACCATAGGGCCTGGCCCAGTTTGAATAAATACACTAGTATTGTAGTTGATTACAAATGAGGCCCTTCCTTGGGGGAAGGCCTTAGCTTGATGTACATCTTATAGAGTACATTACATGATGAGAATACAAAGAATAACTGCTAATGTGTTACTTTGGTTGGAAGGACTGTAATCGGTGGGCGATGTAAGTCGGAATGATCATAGTCGGCGGGCGACGAAGGTTTGAAGGACTGTAGTCGGTGGACGACGTAAGTCAGAAGGACCGTAGTCGGCGGGCGACGGAGGTCAGAAGGAATGTAATCGGTGGGTGACATAAGTCAGAAGGATCCTAGTTGGTGGACGATGGAGGTTAGAAGGATTGTAGTCGGCGGGCGACGTAAGTTAGAAGGACCGTAGTCGATGGACTACGAAGGTCAGAAGGACTGAAGTTGATGAGCGACGTAAGTTAGAAGGACCGTAGTCGGTGGGCGACGGATGTCAGAAGGATTGTAGACGGCGGGCGACGTAAATCAAAATTATCATAGTCGACGAACGATGGAGATCAGAAGGACTATTGAAAATTAGCTACGTCAGGTAGAAACTTAGCGAAGAGCGGAGTTCGACTTCAGGTAGAAGTCCGACGTTAGTTGGCGACCGAGGCGAACTCCGGTGTTAGATGGTATTTGAGTAGAACTCCGACGTCACTTCGAGTTTAGGTGAAACTCAGGCGTCACTTTGGAGGTCGGACGGAATTCCAGCATGACTTGGAAAGTCGGGCAGAATTCCAACATCATTTGGAAGTCGGGTAGAATTACGACATCACTTGGGCAGAATTTCGACTGCGTTGGTTGAGGAGGAGTTTCTTCCCTTCTATCATTCTTCTATTCTCTTCTTGCTTAGGCCCCCTCTCAAGAAAAATGAGGGGTCTATTTATAGATTTTTGGAGTGGCATGGCTCGTAAATATGTGAGAGATCAGAGGCAAATGTGGAGTGGTTCGGATGGACGGCCGATATTGAATCCTTTGATCATGGACCGTTTGTCGAACATTTGAAGGTCTTAATGATATTAGAATTCGGTGATCTTGGGTTCGTTGGATTTGTCTCGTTAAGCCGCTGATCGATTCGACTATAAGCATGTCATATTTGGAAACTGTTTGGTAATCCAAATTATGAATTGAACCTTCCAAATGTGCTTCGGGTCTTCGATTTGGACTCATTTGGGCTTGGATTGAGTTGAATTTGGTGTCGTTGGGTTCGTATTTTCGAGACGCTCAGTTCAACTATAAGTTTTCTTAAATCGGAGTTCATATGATCCCAGATTTAATTTTGAAGTTTCCAACTTGATTTTTGCCTCAAGATTCGTGTCTGATCAAAATAATTTTTTGATAAAATATCGTATAATGACCTAAATGTTGTGTTGAATGAAAATATAAGTATAGGATGGTATAAGGGTCTAGTATTATATATATGAAGTATTTGAGAGGTATAACTGTATAAGAGCCTGAGAAAAAAATAATGTGATGTATTTTAAAGTGATATTTTATTTCAGTTATCTTTCACGATAAAAATGCATATAAAAGATAAACTATATATTATAAGCTAGCACTATATTCAATATTACAATGGAGATAGAATAGCAAACTTATTTGCTTCTTTTTTCGTAAATTAAAAATTTTGGTAGGTTTCAAATATCTTATGATGCTCATTCCTATTTTATTTTGTATGTGTTAATTTTAAGATAGAGAAAGAGAAAGAAACAAATTGAGTAGAGATAGAGATGATATGTTTGTGTTTATAAGTACATCTTTTGTTAGCTCACATATATTTTTTGTAATTATTATAAAGATTTAATTATAATTAAATTATTTTTATAATAAGTAAACTTTTTTTATATATTATTGAAATATGATTAATTAAATAAAATATTAAAATAGTGTTGAAGCCAAAATACAACATAAAATTTTCTCGACTTATTCTGCCAAACGTCTAACCTCGTTTAAGATATAACATCATTTATAAAACTGCCCAACCAGACGCGTCCTGAGTTCCAAAGGAAGACCGCGGAAAACAAAAATAGAAACTTCTCCGGCGTCGATCATGGCGTCAGAGTTGCCGGCCTCCGACCGCAAAGGTAGCGAGGAAGGGCTAGAGAGCGACAGCTTTCGCTTCTTTGGTTGCAAAATTAGGGTATTACTTCATATTTTTTTCTTTCGGATGTTTCATGCCCTTTTTCTCTTTGTCTGTTTGCAGTGGTTGTTCATCTTAGGGCGACCGGCGATGCTCCCATCCTCAAGCAGGCGAAGTTCAAGGTATGATCTAAAATTTTCATTTGAATATTCCTTGCTTTGATCGCTTTTGATTGATTCATTTGAGAAATTCGTCTGTGGAGTGCTGGCCGCAAAATATTGATTAGGTTGATGCTGAACAGAAATATTATGAGAAACACAAAAATGCACCTGTTGGGAAGAATAAGATGATGCTTCTGTTAGCACATTACTTGAGAACTGCCATTTGGATAATGAAGAATGATATGAACCTAATTGTAAACAGTAGTAGTTAAATATGTCTGATTAGTAGCCTAAGTTAGCCTAGATAAGTCGTAATATGATTAGTTAGTAGCCTGGGTAAGCCTAAAAAACTCTTGTAAACTTATAAATATCCCAGTTTGGGTGTATGATGGCATGATAAATAATAAATCCCCTTTCTCCTATCTAGTTCTGTATTTGTTCTTTCTTTTGTAGTTTGAGTAGCTCATAATACTGTGATAGGAGCAGGTTCCTATCAAAGGACCTTTTTTTGCTAGGGATGGTACACTGAGGTATTGAATGGGAAATGTTTGATATGGTTATACTTGTTAGATCATTTTTCCTCTTAAGAGAGTTTGTGTGATAGTTACTGGTTTATTGGTGATGAAATGTTATGGTTTGGTCATGATGGTCATAAATTTCTTTCCTTTGCTTCTATAGATGAATATATAGTCATCATATAGTCTACACAAATTTGGAATACAAGAATAGAAAAAATATCTATAAAATGGCATTGCTTAATGAAACATAAGAATGAACTAAGCTTGATGAATTTTAGGGCTTATTTGGTTGCTTCTAGGTGAGAACCATTCATTAGAAAGTGATGAATATGTTTCAACTCATTTACAGAGTGATATTATGTCCTCACTTTTTGAGGGATTTCAAAGTTGCTTGTAGAGTTGGAAATGTATTCAACCAAATGATTAAATCCAGATAATTTATTATTTTTCAGACCATTTTTTCAACTTAAATAACCAAATGGGTCTTTAAAGTGAACTTATTTTTGAATCAAGGAAAAAATTAAGTTAATCAAATACGATTTAACTAATATTATATCATGCCAGATGGTTAGATAGAAGTTATGAGTCTTCATGGTTGTTGTCAGAAATTCTATAGATAGGAAATATGAATGCGCATGCAAAGACATTAGACTTTCAGCAGGACATGCATGTTTTAGCTAATGAGTTTTTCATTTTTATTTGTTTTAGTTTTTTATATATCTTGCATTTAAGAAACTAAATGGGTTGGAGAGAAAGCTAAGGAGATTGATAGTTTAGGTTATAAACTATGATATTCGGGTAGGAGTCGTACTAGAAATAATATAGGCGTGATTATAGATAAGAGTTTGAAGGATAATGTTATAAAAATTAACCAAATTGGAGATAGAATTATAGCTCTAGAGATTGTTGTTGATGCTAAGTGGTTTGAAATATGGGTTCAAAATTAAAATTTTGGAATGATTTAGAAGAATTAATACAAGAGATAACCTTGAATAAAGAGTTTTTATATGAGGAGATTTAAATGAACATGTTGGTAGAGTGCTAGATGAATTTAAAAGCATTTATGGTGGTCATGAGTTTGGAACGACAAATGAAGATGGTAAGATCATATTAGATTTTTATTTAGCTTATGATTTCTTAATAGCTAATACCTTATTTAAAAAAAGAGATGAACATCTTATCACTTATAAAAATGGATATAGTAAAACACAGATTTATTATTTTCTTATAGGAAAATTAAATTGTTCAGATTGCAAAGATTGTAAAGTTATTTCAAGTGAAAATTTATGTACCCAACATTGATTATTAGTTTTGGACTTTAAGTTAAAGGGGTAGAAAATAAAAAATAAAGTAAAATGATTTTCTAGGATTAAATGATGACATTTAAAAATATTAACAAAAATATTTTTAAGAGTAAGATTTTAGATCTTAAGATTTTGTCTGTGCATGAGGATGCTAATATTATGTGGGAAAAAGTGACTAGTGATATTAATAATATTGCAAAAGATGTGATTGGAGTTTCAAAGGGAAAAACTCTTAATAATAAAAATAGTTGGTGGTGAAATTCAAATATGCAAGAAAAGATAAAAAATAAGAAGATTTGTTATAAAAATTGGTTTAGATGTAAAAATTCTGATAATTGGGAAACCTATAAAGAGGCTCATAAGGAATCTAAGAAAGCTATTTGCGATACAAAAACTTAGCTTTTAATGATTTATATAATAGGTTAGATACTAAGGAGGAAGAAATATATATGTATAAGTTAGTCAAACAAAGAGATATAAGTAGTAAGGATTTATTTCAAGTGAAGTGTGTTAAGGATGAGATCAAAATATTCTTTTGCTAGAAGATGATATTCAATAAAAGTGGATGAGATATTTTGCTAAACTTTTTAATGATGAATGTGAAAATAAGATCGACTTTAGTGACTTTAGTACCCTAAATGAAAATAAATATTTTTGTTTTTATTGGCATTTTAGTAAAACCAAAATTAAAGAGGCTTTAAAAAAATGAAGTGTGGAAAAGCTGTTGGACCTGATAATATTCCAATAGAGATGTGGAAATGCTTAGGAAATGAAGGAATTTCTTGGCTCACTAAACTTTTTAATACTATTTTGAAGACTAAAAAGATGGCAGATCAGTGGAGAATGAGTGTATTAATTCTTATTTTTAAGAATAAAGGTGATGTATATCATTAAAGATATGTATGCAGGAGCAATTACTTGTGTTCAAACACAAGGTGGTTTGACCAAGTATTTTTCTATTTCGGTTGGATTACATCAAGGATCAGCCTTAAGTCCATATCTTTTTTCTTTAGTCATGGATGTTTTAACTATACATTTGCAAGAGAATGTATCTTGGTGTATGCTTTTTGCTGATGATATTCTTCTTGTTGATAAGACTAGAGATGGAGTTGAACGTAAACTTGAATTATGAAGGTCAACCTTAGAGTCTAAAGGTTTTCGCTTGAGTAGATTTAAAACTGAATATATGGAGTGTAATTTTAGTAACAATAGACCTAGTGAGGGGATTGTGACTTTGGGCGATCAAGTTATTAATAAGAGTACACGTTTTAGATACCTTGGATCTATTGTTCAGAGTGATGGTTAAATAGATGGGGATATTATCAGCAGAATTCAAGTTGGTTGGTTTAAGTGGAGGAATGCATCGGGCTGCTGTGCGATAGAAAAGTCCCCCTCAAACTTAAGAGAAAATTCTATAAGAATGGTGGTGAGACCTGCATGCTTTATGGTGTCGAATGTTAGCCATTAAAAGAGAAGCATAATACTAAGTTAAGTGTTGCAGAGATGAGAATGCTTAGGTGGATGAGTGACGTTACCCTTAGAGATAGGATACAAAATGAGCATATACGTGAAAAGGTTGGAGTAGCCCCAGTAAGATTAGAGAGAGTCGCCTTAGATGGTTTGATCACATTAAATGGAGGTCTTCTGATGACCCGGTTAGGAAAGTTGAGGTATTAGATTTGACTTATGTTAAGAAAGGTAGAGGTAGGCCTAAAAAGACTTGGTTAGAAAATATTAAAAATGATCTTTTTTTATTAGATTTAAATGAGAATTTGACTTTTAACAGGGCACAATGGCGAAAAAGGATTCATGTAGCCGACCCCACGTAGTGGGACAAAAGCTTGATGATGTTGTTGTTGTATATATCTTGCATAGGGTTTGATGCAGGGGAAAAATCTTTATATAAAATTCATGCAAAATAGCAAAGTTAACAGATAGAGGTAGAGAGATAGGATACATTACAAGAAATGAAAAGCTAAGAATCGAATCAGCGAGGCTGATATATCTTCATTGAATCTTCTTTAGAATCCCTTTTGGAACAAAGGAAGGAGACATTTAGGGGAAAGAGAATTTTTATTCATAATGAATGTTACATTAGATATTATAGCCTAAGGATCCTTATTTATAGAGAAGCATCTGAATAAGCTTAACAACATACTAACAAACGTAGAAATTAATATTGACTAAAATAGCCCCCCTAAAAAAAGTGACCATGAGGCTTAAAAGACAACAAACTCAAATAGATTGCTGAAATGACTTGTAAGTCCTAAGACGTAAACATAAGCAAAAATTTTGTTTAGGTGAGTTGAAGTCCAAAATTACATGGCACTGGCTGTTCTCCCGGGCCACAGATCACTAAGGGGATTGAACTGATACATTCGGAAGATTCAATTCTAGGCAATTAGCTATGAAATATCTAATTGTAATTTGATACCTCCATGTTCCTACTAGAAAGTGGATTATCTGGAGGAAACACCAAGAGGCTTTGGAAGAAGTAATGTAAGGACTAGCCTTACTACTGGAGAATTAGAAAATCCACTTTTAGGTGCTTCTTTGTAGTATACTTTTGATGTCAATCTTATATATTTTAATGCTATTTATCAAATACTAAGTGTTTTGTTTAGTGTAATTGTCTTTAAAGACGATGATGCTTTCAAGATTATAAAGAACAAAATATTTAGATATCCAAAATTTCACTAATTTAATCTACATCATATTTCATTAAATTATGTCATAACATTCCTTTATAAATTTATTGTTTAGAGTTGTCAACAAACCAAACAACTAACATCTATAAATAACATGACATCACAATGAGATGTCAGTAAACCAAACATCCCCTTAGAATCATCAATGCGAAGTATGCAAGTCTTGAAAATTCCTTCATTAGATAATAAATTCTTAATAAAAAAAGTAGTGCTATTGACCATGTTAATAGACAAAGCATGTGCACATACATGCATGATTAAAATTTGGAAAAGTTTGAATAATACAAAGGTGTATAATGATTATAAGAAGGCTAGGAGTTTTGCAAAAAGGATGGTGAATAAAGCAAAAGTTACATCTTTTACTAAGGAATGAATGAGGCATCTAGTATAGCTAAGGCAAGAGACAGAAATTTTGATAAGTTAGATGCACCGGAAATATAATAAGATTTTGGTTAAAGATGAAAAAATAAAATTTTTATTTTAAGAAATTATTAAATGAGAGCTTTGAGGAATAAATTATTTTAGAAATGCATAATGAACATTATTTATTATTATTATTATTATTATTATTTTTAATGAACATTATAAGTATATTATAGATTGATTCAGAAAAAAGCGAAGTGGACTTGTATTTGAAAAATATCCATAGCGGTTCAGATTTAGATGAGATACCAATGAAGATTTAGAGAATTATGGGGGATATTGTAGCGTTTTGATTTGTGAATCTTTTCAGTAGAACTTTTAAGACTATGAGGATGCTACATGATTGGAGAAGAAATTGGTATCAATATTTAAGAAACACAACATGCAAGAGTACGCTAATTTTAGAGAATCAAATTGGTTTCATACTGGGAACTGGGAAGATTAACTATAGAGATAGTTTTAATGAT